GCGCCTTCCCGGGAGAGCCTCCCGGGAGCCAATTCCGGCTTGAGGTCATGGTGCCCGGGCCTCCCGGGAACCAATTCCGGCTTGAGGTCATGGTGCCCGGGCCCCCCGGGAACCAATTCCGGCTTGAAGAGTGCCTCCCGGGACCTCCCGGGAACCAATTCCGCTTTGAGGCCCGGCCTCCCGGGAACCAATTCCGCTTGAGGCCCGTCCATACATGGTGCCACATACGCTGATGCATAAGCCCGCCCCCAACCATTGTCCGCGTCGATTTCTTTATGGCGCAACGTAATATGCTTATCAAGCAACATGTAGCCCATGGCACCATGTCGACTGCGTCGCGCGGCTTGTGCCGCGTACATGGGTATACACGCATATACACATATATGCACACCCGTCCATACACATGTACACGCATATACACTTATATACATATATTTACCAACCATCCTGTGGTGCTGGGTCCTCCGCCGTCGGAGACGTTCGACCAGGCGTTCCCCCTCCTCCTCCTCTTGCTCCTCCTACCCCTCCTCCATCACTCCCTCAACATCATCGTCGCCCCGCATCATCTATGATCAATCGGCTCACTCATTCATCACACCATCATCAGCATCATCATCACCCATCGGGGAGGTAGTTAGTAGTAGTAGTAGTCGTAGTAGCAGTAGTAGTAGTATTAGTAGTAGTAGTAGTAGTCGTTAGTAGTAGTCGTCAGTACTAGTAGTAGTAGTCGTAGTAGTAGTAGTAGGGTAGGTGTAGTGGTCCCAGTCGTCAGGAGGAGGAGGAGGAGGAGAGGAGGTGTCAACGTACTCGTAGTTAGTCGTAGGCGTAGTAGTAGTAGTAGTAGTATTAGTAGTAGTAGCAGTAGTAGTAGTAGTAGTAGTAGTAGTCGTAGTTCGTAGTTCGGAATCGTAGTCGTATTCGTAGTAGTAGTAGTAGTAGTAGTAGCAGTATACGTAGTAGTAGTAGTAGTAGTAGTAGTCGTGGTAGTGAGTAGTAGTAGTGAGTTAGTAGTAGTTAGTAGTAGGAGTAGTAGTAGTAGTAGTAGTAGTAATTAGTAGTGGTAGTATCTAGGTAGTAGTAGTGTTACTAGGACTAGTACTAGTACTAGTATAGTACTAGTGTAGTAGTAGCATAGTAGTAGTAGTAGTAGTAATAGTAGTAGTAGTAGTAGTAGTAGTAGTAGTAGTAGTAGTAGTAGTAGTAGTAGCATCCTCTTCTTTCTCTTCCTCCTTTTCGTGCGCTTTCCGCTCTGGGACTCCAAGACAGCCACCAGAGAGCTCCAAGAGGGCCCCAAGAAGGCTCCAAGAGGGGCGCTATGGGTCTCATCGAACCGCCGTTTTCGATGAGACCTATCGCGCTCCTCTTGGAGCCCTCTTGGGGCCGTCTTGGCTTGGCTCCCTCCGGGGCTCCTCGAGGACCGGCCCACCCTGTCCTGGCCCCGTCTAGGGGCTAATAGAGAGCCCTTGGGGGGCTTCAAGATAGCCTCAAGAGGACTCTAAGAGAAGGGGGCCCAGGTCTCATCGAACCGCTGTTCTCGATGAGACCGGGCGCGCTCCTCCTGGAGCCCTCTTGGGGTCCTCTTGTCCCACTCCTAGTGCCCCTCGAGAGCCCTCTCACAGTGACCTTCACTCGGGACGAACAAAACTTGGTCCAGATTCCCGGGGGTCACGTCGCGAAAAAAATGCAACCTCGGGGGTGAGGGTCCTCCTCCTCCTCCTCCTCCTCCTCCTCCTCCTCCTCCTCCTCCCTCCCCGACTGGGGTACCCAACGCATGCGCTCGGGGCTCGGGCGCGCCCCCCCTCAGGGGGCGGAGGCCCGCCATCGCCGTGAGGGGCAGCCCGCGGGGGGGCTCCAGGAGGGGAGACGACGACGACGACGACGACGACAACGACGACGACGACGACGACGACGGCGACGACGACGACGACGACCACGACCACGACCACGGTGACGACGACGACGACGACGGCGGCGGCGGCGACGAAAACGACAGCGGCGACGACGTCGTGGTCTCGGAGGGGGAAGAGGAAGAAGAGGAGGATGTGGAGGATAATGGGAATGAGCCTGATGACGACGAATAGGATTGGGATGTAGGATATGACTGACTTGCTGACTGACTGACTGACTGGGAGGAGAAGGAGGAGAGAGACGCAAGGAGGAGGAGGGGGACAGGAGGAGGAAGGTACTCGCAGTAAAGTTCCCGGTGGGGTTTTCGAGACTGGGGGAGGTGAACGAGGAGAAGGACATGACGAGGAGGAGGAGGAAGGGGACAGGAGGAGGAGGAAGGGAGCAGGAAGAGGAGGAGGAGGAGGAGGAGGAGAAGGGGGAAGATACTTGCAGTAAAATTTCCGGTGGGGGTTCCGAGACTTGGAGGAGGCGAGCGAGGAGAAGGACATGAGGAGGAGGAGGAGGAGGAGGGAGAGGGGGACAAGCGGAGGAGGAGGGGGAAGGCACTTGCAGTAAAGTTTCCGGTTTGGTTTTCGAGACTGGAGGAGGAGGAGGAAATGGACAGGAGGAAGTTGAGGAGGGGGACAGGAGGAGGAGGAGGAGGAGGAGGAGGAGGAGGAGGAGGAGGAGGAGGAGGAGGGCGAAGGCACTTGCAATGTACAGTTTCCGGCGGGGGGTTCGAGACTGGGGGAGGAGAAGGAGGAGAGGGACAGCTCCAAGAGGACACCTATGGCCCCAGCAGTGCCCAATACGGATCGAATAATAAAGCCATATATTGCGGCCATGCGGCTGCTTTCGCCGAGGCTTCTCCAGGGAGAGTAGGTCCGAATCGGCTGACGGCCGCGCTGTGTCGAGGCCAATTGGCCCGAAGACGACCAAGTTCTAGGTGCCAGATGCAAATGTTCTAGGTGCCACTTAGGGCGGTTTAGGTTTAGGGGCGGGAGCATGCAGAAAAACAAACCGCGGGGAAAACCGTCCGATAGCCCAAGAGGGGGAGGATGGCGGAGGATAAGAAGGAATAAGAGAAGGAGTCGGGCGGTGAGTCGGAAGCAAGAAGAGACGGTGGACAAGAAGGCGGAAGAGAAGGGGGGTGAGGAGGAATCTTCTGGGGGCCTTTTTGGGCCATCTCGGAGCCATCTTGATGCCACCAGACGCGAAAAAGGCGAGACAACAAAACATGTTGTTGTTCCTGTGGTTTTGATAAGGATGTTGGTCTCTTTGGGGCCTCCTTGGGGTGATCGTATGCCACCTGGAGCCGTCTTGGAGCGGTCTTGGGGCCTCTTGGAGCATCTTGGGAGCCATCTGGAGGCATATTGGGATACCTTGAGCCATCTTGCAGCTCATCTTGGGCTTTCCGAGGCGCCATATCGGGCCATCCTGGACGCCCCAACCCTTCGGGGGGCCCGTCCACGTCCAGGGAAGGGGGTAAAGGGAGGGGCAAACCCCTCCCCGAAGGGTAAGAGGGGCAGATGGAGGACAAAACATGCTAGACCATTTACCCCCTAAAGGGCTGGTGGGATTTCCTTCGGAACCTTGGCCTGATTGATCAAATTCTTTGTGGAGTCCGAGAAGTGCAACAGTCTGGCGTCCGCGGCACGCATACATTTAAGGACTGTCTCCTCTTCTTGTGGCATCGCTTGCTCCTGTAGCATGGCCTGCTGGTCCAGCGCCGCCTCGGCGCTGGCCGCCCGGGACTCGTCGACCAGCGCCGCAACCTTTGGCCCATTGACCCCCGCGCCACTACAGCTACCGAGCGTGCTGCCTGCACAATGGTTGAAGTCCACGGGTATCTCATGTCGCACGTCGATTGTGGTGTAGCAAACCAACCCTATAACGTAATCAAATTGAAGAGATCATAACAGACGATGAATCCTTTTTGAAGCCCAGCCTCGACCGAACTACGGCACAGCAGGCAAATATTGCTCTGCCTGGGCCTTGTGCGCCATGAGCGCCGCTGAGCCACTGACCACGGACGACGGGGTGTTAACAAATTGTGCGCCCCCTCGTTTCCGCAGCCGGCGTGCAGGCTACAAACGCTCGTCAATTCCAAGCCAGCAAGCAAGCACGCAAGTTGTCGTGATCTTTTTCCTAGGCCACCGTCAGGAGCGGCGAATACAATCAGCAAAGGAGCATGAAGTCATGATCAAGATACGTTCGAATATTTCCAGATCCACCTCATATCACGCGCGTCCACAGACGACTGGCCGAGTAGATAAATACGAGTGGTGGAGGGCCGCTAGAAGCTCCGGGGTCCCCGGGACGTGCCCTGAGCCAATCGCATCATGATACGTATAGCTTGTTACCCCTGTTCCTTTCGTTCCTCTCTGCGTCCTCCTCATCCCCCAATGCCCCTCCTCCCTCCTCCCTCCCCCCTCCCTCTCCGCCTCATCAGTTCCGCTTCCCCCTCTCGCCCTGCAGCGTGCTTCTCGCGCGCCGCGGCCTGGGCCGCCGAGCCGTCCCTCTCCAGGCGGGCGGCGCGGGGGCCCGAAGCTGGCCGTGAGCCGTGGGGCGCGATGCGCGAAGTCAGCTTCCCCGCTACGAGCTCCGAACCCCGAGGGTCAAAGCTTTTCGGCCTCTGGAGGGTGCCTCGTCGCGACAGCTGGATTCGCCTCCAAAATCAGGTTAGAACGCGCCCCAGGAGATGTCCAAGGGTGGAGTTTTTACCCCCGAACCCAGACGCCCGACGTCATGTTTTTGTTGCCTGACGTGGGAGACCGTTTTTGTATCCCGAGCTGTTTTTTGTAACGGTCACAGGGCCTGGCGAGTGCCCGCAGGGGCCGAATATTGCAGAACATGTTCCGTCATGTTTTTTCATGACATGGGGATTGGCATCCAGGGTCCATTTCGATCCGGTCGATCCCATTCGATGTCGGTTTCGGCCGGCTCGATCCGATTCGATTCCGATACGGGTTGATGTTCGCATGGCGTTGTTGTACGTCTCGGCGCAGTTGATTCCATTGGATTTCGATTCCGTGCCGATGCAGCCCGATCCGATGCACGTTCCGATCCGAACCGATTTTCCATTTCGATGTTGGCCGCTCCGCCCTCTCGAGGACCTCTTCGCCCCGGACTTCCGCTGCGTGCCCCGGCTGATCGGTCACTGGCACCGCCCCGGCCAGCTGATCGACCAGCGCACGGGCGCGGGCACGCCGGCGAGCGGCTGGCTGAGCTCCGTGGCGATGGAGCCGCGGGGCCGCCGCCAGTCCTGATCGCGCCCCCATGTGCTCGGAGGAAGAGGCAGAGGAAAAGATGCAGGTACCACTAGCGATTGTTGCTTTATCTTCTGGCACGTAACGGTCGTCACCCGGCCCAAACCCTCCCCCCACCCTTCTTGGGTAGCGGTAACGATCGTACGTATGCTGGTGTTCGCGCGCAGACTGTGGCGATCGCAGCGTACCCCCGCCCCGACGTACCCCACCCTTCCCAAGCGTTACCGCTACCCGCGCCCACCCCTGGTAACGATCGTTACGGGAAATTATATAAAAAAGCATGTCCCATTATCGCCTCGTCGTCAGGGCTGGATTCGCCTCGAAATCTTGGTCACAACGCACTCTTGGCGAGGTCTTTGGAGCAGCGGTATCGGAACAGTTCTGCCCCTTCCAGGACTTTGCGGCGTCTGCTAACCGTACACCTCCACCGATCCTGGCCAGGCCTGCCCTGAGCCCAGGTTGGCCTGTACGCCATGTGGTCCCAGGATTGGCATGGCTTCGATGGGTGTAGCTGTATAGTCAGCGCCTTTCGAACCCCGCTCGAGGAGGAGAGGGAGGTATGGTGCGCACGCGTAATGGTCGAGAGTGCTCGAGTGGCGGCGGGCGGGCATGGACCCGCGCACATCACGTCGCCCGTCAAATGAAGAGTAGTTCGCGTTCGGGAGGGGCTCGCCGTTCCTTAGGTTTTTCCATGGTTCCTGGCGGAGCCGGGTGAACTTCCGCGCCCTCTGGACTGAAGTGAATTGAATCGGTCTGATTGTGGAGGCACTTTTGACAGCACATTTCAAACGTGCGGGTTGGAGGAGACATGTCAACCCGCCCGCGGGCGCAACCGCAAGCGCAAATAGAGCACACATTTCACCCCGCCCGCGGGCGCAACCGCAACCGTAACCGCAATCGCATCCGCAGTTCAGAGGACACATTTCACCCGCCCGCGGGCGCAACTGCAACCGCAAACGCAACTAGAGAGCACATTTCACCCGGCCCGCGGGCGCAACCGAAACCGCAACTGCAACTAGAGGACACATTTCACCCCGCCGGCAGGCGCAACCGCAACTAGACGACGCATTTCCCCCCGCCCGCGGAGGAAACTGCAACCGTAATCGCACCTAGAAGACACATTTCAACCCGCCCGCGGGCGCAACCGCAACCGCAACCGCAACCGGAGGACACATTTCAACCCGCCCGCGGGCGCAACCGCAACTGCAACCGCAGCTAGAGGACACAGTTCAACCCGCCCGCAGACGCATCCGCAACTAGAGGACACATTTCACCCCGCCCGCGGGCGCAAACGAAACCGAAGCCGCAACTAGAGGACACATTTCACCCCGCCTGTAGGCGCAACCGCAACCGCAGCTAGAGGATACATTTCAACCCGCCCGCGGGCGCAACCGCAACCGCAACCGCACCTAGAGGACACATTCGAACCGCCGCGGGCGCATCCGCAACCGCAACTAGAGGACACATTTCAACCCGCCCAAGGGCGCAACCGCAACCGCAGCTAGAGGACACATTTCAACCCGCTCGCAGACGCATCCGCAACCCGCACCTAGAGGACATATTTCAACCAGCCCGCGGGCGCAACCGCAACCGCAACCGCAGCTAGAGGACACAGTTCAACCCGCCCGCAGACGCATCCGCAACCGCACCTAGAGGACACATTTCAACTCGCCCGCGGGCGCAACCGCAACCGCAACCGCACCTAGAGGACACATTCCAAGCCGCCCTCAGGCGCATCCGCAACCGCAACTAGAGGACACATGTCATACCGCCCTTGTTCGCATTGTAACCGCAACCGCAGCTAGAGGACACATTTCAAGACGCGGTTCTCCGCCGGGACATTGCAGCGGGGAACCCCCATTCCGCGCTGCTGCCTTTGATTGTTCCACTAACGCTTTTCGTGCACCCATTCGCATTTTTGTTCACTAAGGGCTTTCGTTCCTTGTGTGGCGTTCCTTGTGGTAGCAGGTTGACTGTCTAGAAATGGTGAGGTTGCTCCTCCTTCTCCTCCTGCTGCCATCCCTGTGCCAGCGCCGCGTCGCCACTGCTCCCCAGAGGGTTCCAAAAGGGGGTCAGGACAGAGGGGTTGTGCCGACCCTTCACGCTTAACCCCCTTTCCAGCCCAAGGGGCCAAACGCAGGGGTTCGGCCCTAACCCCCCGCTGGGACCCTTCAGGCCTAGCCCCTCGCAGGGCCGTCCCGCGGGACAAGCTGCCGCCCGCTCTGCCTGGTCCCGTCACTACCGGGGCCCCAGAGGATCCCCGTCGGAGCCCTACGTCTTTCGCTCGTCTCCATCCTCTCCTTCTCCTCCTCCCCTCCTCCTCCTCGTGCTCCTCCTCCCCCGGTCGAGTTGCCATCGAGCGAGTTGCCGCAGATTCCGAGGATCCCGGCTTTGAAGAAGAAGGAAGTATGCCCGACGACGGGTTTTGCTTCAGTTGAGCCAAGACGCCGTCAGGGCAAGCCCATACCATGCCATACTCTTTTCTGTGCGTTGTGCAAACACTGGCGAGATGACCGTTGCGTCTTATGGTCAGTATTCAATCAGCAGCAAACACAAGTTCAGAGCACTGGAACATGATTGACTTCAGGCACAGGCGAGCAGCGGCGGGAACGCGAGCGGTCGAAAATAAACTACAATGGGGAAAAGGCAAACAACTTGAGCATGCTGCTGTGCCTGAATCCAAGAAGGGGCCTATGTACCGATGCCCCTGGCACCATACTCTCCTTCTCCTCCTCCTCCTCCTCCTCTTCTGCGCTTCCTCCCTGGCGCACGTTGCCACGCCCTCACCGCCCCCCCCCCCTCCCGCGCGGCGAGGAGCTGGTGGAGGGCCAGGGGTTTGAGGAGCACCTCGCCGGGCTGGCGACTGAGGGGTCCGTGCGGGACCCCAGCGGCGCGCGGCCGCCGCCTCCGTCGGTCGTCGCCGCCGCCGCCGCCGTCGGTCGTCGTTGCCGTCGGTCGTCGTTGCCGTCGCCGTCGCCGCCGCCGCCGCCGTCGTCGCCGTCCTCGTCGCCGCCACCGCTGCCGCCGCCGCTGCCGCGGCCGCCGTCGTCGTCGTCGTCGTCGTCGTCGTCGTCGTCGTCTTCGTCGTCGTCGTAGTCGGCGGCGTTGTCGTCGTGATCGTCGTCGTCATCGTCGTCGAGTCGAGTCGAGTCGTCCCTTGTTCCCATCTCCTCATCCCTCCTCCTCTCGCCTCCCTCCTCCAATCCCCCCACCTCCCCGCGCGCGCAGGGGGTGGGTGAGGGAGGGGGGAGGAGTGAGGAAGAGGCCAGGAGGCGAAGGATGACAAAGACGAGGAGGAAGAGGTGGAGCAGAAGGAGGAGGAGGAGCTTGGGGTTAAGTTTTGCTAGGCTAGATAGACAAGGGAGTAGGACAGCCGCGAAGAGGTTGAACATATTGTTGCCCCGCTATACATGATGATACGTGCTGAAGCAGGGTCGGCGCTGACCTGCGGATGTTTATGACAGGTTTGACCTTTAAAGTTGGCGTCTGAAATTTGATACGAAGCTGGCCTGCCAGCAGGTGCAGCATGCAAATGTCACATCCTGTTCTGGATATCGGGACCCAGAAGGGCCCGTTGACACCTTGGGAGATTCAAGTATGCACGGAACGCAAGCGTCCTAATTCCAATTTTCATTGCAAGACGTATCACGGTATCTCTTTGTGTTATTCAAACGGGCTTGAGATGAGGATATGTTTTTCAAGAGCGTACCAGAGTTCCCTCAGAGCGTTCTAGAATGTTGTGGGAGCAGCCGCGGCGAACGATACCGAATGTTTCTAGCAGTGGTCCTGGCCCAAGGTGCCCTGAGTTGTTCGCACCATTTTGGGTTCCCTGGGGCTCTCTCTGGGCCTCGTGAGGGGTGACCTGGGGGCCATCTGGGGCCTCCAGAGGAATCGTGGGGCCACCTTGGGCAAGGAGCACCTCTGGCAACATCCGACGACACGTCCTCCAGACCCGCCGGCTCTCAGACATTCCTGATGTGTTGGCATCACCCAGGCATCTTCATACTGTGTGCGCTCTGCCCCCAGGGGCGACGCGCGCTCAGAAATCTTCTAGTACATGTTCGGTGGCCGGGGCTTTTTGGCGACACCGCCGGTAACGATATGCTACAAGACTCGGGACGTTGGTGCCATATGTTCATTTCGGCAATGCGCCTCCAAGGGGGGCGCGTAGTACTTGTGTGTGTTTTCCTGTGTCCTTGTTTATCTCATCCAGGTTTCGTCTTGACCTGGGTCGTCGCGGCGAGCACTGGGACGCCCTGCCTCAGCAGCCGGGCCTGCGCCGTCCCGGGCCAGGGCCACGAGGCCTCGGGTGCTCGTCCCGAGGAGCCTCTTCGAGTCGGCGACAAGCGCGGCTCTTGGGCAAGCCGCAGGTGCACACGGGCGTGATGCGTTAGACAGACCGCCGCGGCGGCCTGATCGGGCCCTGCTACCTGACAAAAGCCCAGTAGCAGGCACGCAAACAAGCAGAGGTATGGCGAGAGGACGTGGCGGATGAGAGAGCGCAATTCGAGCGGCATTGTCTTCCCAGACCTCCGAGATGCCGTTTTTTGTATTGTTTGCCCCCCCACCCGCCAGGTTGGGTTTGCTAGATTGAACGGAAGAGCTCCCGACCCGCCTCGCACACCCTGCATACCGTGGCGTCAGACGCAAAGGTCAGGCAGTTGCTAATGGAATGCCCCGCTATATTTTTAAGTCCCACTAATGGCCCACATATTCTCCACTAGTGCCCCGCTAATGGCACACGAATGAATTTGACCCACTCGTGACCCGCTAATGGTTTTTGCCACACTACTGGCCCACTCATGATCATCGAATGGCTCGCTTCTCGTCTTTCTTTCGCGTTGTCGCGACTGCAGAGATCCCTAGTGCCAACTCAGGCGGTCATTAGCGTGCTATTGGCCAGGTCCGAAGGTATTGTGAGGCAGGGCCCTTCATGACAAAGTGTGCCGGTGTTCCCTGGACATCCCGCTTCGCGGCATTGTTGCTTGCTTTTTGTTCCTAACCCTCCTGCATTGGATTCCCGTTTCAACATTGGGGTCGCGTCTCCTCATTCCTGCCTTCCTCCTCTGTCCTTCTCTGGCCTTCTGCCTCGTACTTCCTGCCTCGCCGAGGGAACCAGGGAACCATCATATCCACGACGAGATGCGGCGAGTGGACACACCTACAGTCCATGTGTGGTACGTCATGGGGATATCCGAGGCCTCACATCGGACGGCTGATTTTCTGAGCTCTGGCAGGAGTTGTCGACGTGCGAGAGCGGGACGCCATACTACTCAACGAGACGATGCGTCTGGCTGACAATGGATCCACACGACTGAAGGTGGACGTGTAGACGCGGTTTTTGGTGGAGGATGGCACAAGCATCGGGTTGGCATATTGCTACATGTACGGTGGACACCGTGACCCTGTGCTCCTGATATTAATCCTCTGGGGACACTAAAGTTCGAGGTCCAGGGTGGGATAATAAACGTTTTCCAGAAGATCGCAGCATAATGATGACGATGATGACGATGATGATGATGATGACGATGATACGGGTATGCTGGACGCTGTACAGAAATCCTTAAGACAACCGTACGATTCCGAATCCTGAGGAAATCCATATGAGGAGGATGAGGAGGAGGAGGAGGTGGAGGAGCACTAGGACCACTTGTCCGACAAAAGCTTCGATTCGGGACCTTAGGCTGTTCATGTGTAAATCTAATTGTTTAATCGTTTTCAACGTCGCATGTGTAGGAGGAGTCCATGACAGCTCGTTTGCAGTAATAAACTTATCCTCGCGAAGGACCCAACCATATGCAATTGTGAATACTGCAATTGTGAATATCTTCTCGGTGGAGCCCCCTACGGGGCCACGAAACGTACGAGGGGTGTGCCGAAATGGGTGTGCGGGACGCACGCAGGCACACCCACTGGTGCCTTCTGTGGAGCTCCCTATGGGGCCACGAAGCGTGTGAGGGGTGTGCCGAAATGGGTGTGCGGGACGCATGCGGGCACACCCACTGGGACTTTCGGCTGAGCTCCCTATGGGGCCACGAAACGTGTGAGGGGTGTGCCGAAATGGGTGTGGGTGACGCATGCGGGCGCGGGCACTGGGGCCTTCGGCGGAGCTCCCTATGGGGCCACGAAACGTGTGAGGGGTGTGCCGAAATGGGTGTGGGTGACGCATGCGGGCGCGGGCACTGGGGCCTTCGGTGGAGCTCCCTATGGAGCCACGAAACGTGTGAGGGGTGTGCCGAAATGGGTGTGGGTGACGCATGCGGGCGCGGGCACTGGGGCCTTCGGTGGAGATCCCTATGGGGCCACGAAGCGTGTGAGGGGTGTGCCGAAATGGGTGTGGGGGACGCATGTGGGCGCGGGCACTGGGGCCTTCGGTGGAGCTCCCTATGGAGCCACGAAACGTGTGAGGGGTGTGCCGAAATGGGTGTGGGTGACGCATGCGGGCGCGGGCACTGGGGCCTTCGGTGGAGCTCCCTATGGCGCCACGAAGCGTGTGAGGGGTGTGCCGAAATGGGTGTGGGTGACGCATGCGGGCGGGGGCATTGGGGCCTTCGGCGGAGCTCCCTATGGGGCCACGAAACGTGTGAGGGTGTGCCGAAATGGGCGCGGCTGACGCATGCGGACGCGGGCACTGGGGCCTTCGGTGGAGCTCCATATGGAGCCACGAAACGTGTGAGGGGTGTGCGAAATGGAATGTGGGTGACGCATGCGGGCGCGGGCACTGGGGCCTTCGGTGGAGCTCCCTATGTTGCCACGAAACGTGTGAGGGGTGTGCCGAAATGTGGGTGACGCATTGGGTGTGGGGCCACGAAACGCCATGACGCATGCGGGCGCGGGCACTGGGCCTTCGGTGGAGCTCCCTATGGGGCCACGAAACGTGTGAGGGGTGTGCCGAAATGGGTGTGGGGACGCATGCGGCCGCGGGCACTGGGGCCTTCGGTGGAGCTCCCTATGGAGCCACGAAACGTGTGAGGGGTGTGCCGAAATGGGTGTGGGGACGCATGCGGGCGCGGGCACTGGGGCCTTCGGTGGAGCTCCCTATGGAGCCACGAAACGTGTGAGGGGTGTGCCGAAATGGGTGTGGGTGACGCATGCGGGCGCGGGCACTGGGGCCTTCGGTGGAGCTCCCTATGGGCCACGAAACGTGTGAGGGGTGTGCCGAAATGGGTGTGGGTGACGCAGCGGGCGCGGGCACTGGGGCCTTCGGTGGAGCTCCCTATGGAGCCACGAAACGTGTGAGGGGTGTGCCGAAATGGGTGTGGGTGACGCATGCGGGCGCGGGCACTGGGGCCTTCGGTGGAGCTCCCTATGGAGCCACGAAACGTGTGAGGGGTGTGCCGAAATGGGTGTGGGTGACGCATGCGGGCGCGGGCACTGGGGCCTTCGGTGGAGCTCCCTATGGAGCCACGAAACGTGTGAGGGGTGTGCCGAAATGGGTGTGGGTGACGCATGCGGGCGCGGGCACTGGGGCCTTCGGTGGAGCTCCCTATGGAGCCACGAAACGTGTGAGGGGTGTGCCGAAATGGGTGTGGGTGACGCATGCGGGCGCGGGCACTGGGGCCTTCGGTGGAGCTCCCTATGGAGCCACGAAACGTGTGAGGGGTGTGCCGAAATGGGTGTGGGTGACGCATGCGGGCGCGGGCACTGGGGCCTTCGGTGGAGCTCCCTATGGAGCCACGAAACGTGTGAGGGGTGTGCCGAATTGGGTGTGGGTGACGCATGCGGGCGCGGGCACTGGGGCCTTCGGTGGAGCTCCCTATGGGGCCACGAAACGGTGTACTGGGTGGGTGAAGAGGAGAGGAGGAGAGGAGTGGAGGAGAGGAGAGGAGAGGAGAGAAGAGGAGAGGAGAGGAGAGGAGAGGAATGATGATGATAATGAT